TATAAAGCTTTAAAGAAGTTAGCTAACACCACCGCCGCCGGATCACTATCCCTATGTCGAGCTTTCTGCGACAAAAGTCACAGGCTCGACAAAAACTACATTTCATCAGTCAATATATCCTTCTGTTACCTCATGCTTCTGATTTAATAAAATGACAGGTTTATGTTAATTCATTTAATTGTGAGATAGATAAATATCATATGGCTTTGTCAATACCACATCCGTATCAACATAAAACATCAATATAATCCCAAGAGCTCTATTCAAAATAATATAATGGTTTAGGGTTGATACATTATGTGATATTGAACAAGTCATATCATATACACTTGAATATATACCTTAAGTTCACATGTTGATGTTTTAAACATGGCATCACATAAAATAGATTAGGGGTTTAATATAATAATGCCTTTATAACTATGACTAATATCGATGATGTGGCATCATACAGATTAGGGGTTCAATAAAGCTTTTGCAATCATGACTGCAGTCCCTAGCCAACCTTGCCTATTTTTCATGCTGTTGGAATGCAAAATACTAGGTCCATCCATGTTATACAATGAGTGATTTCAAATTTTCAATATTTATATCAACGATTTTCTAAATAACAAATTCCTGATCTATTACGTCACTCCAATTTGTATAAATAAAAAACTAAATATGTACAAATATCTACAATTCTATCTGGTGACATCATTATGACTCACCACTTTCAAACTAAAAATGTTGGCCAATAAAATATATCATAGTCCAGTCAAAAATATAACTGAACATAACAGCTCCTAGAAATATGCTTTTCTCCCTCTCCCTTAAGACCTTAACTAGGACTTCCAATTTGGAAAACCAAAAATATTAAAAGAATTTGGATTATACTCCTTATTAATATAGAACCGGTCTCTTTGCCAAAAGGAACATATATTATCATGTTACCTTGAACTAATTTGAAGTGTCGAATCTACTTCAATATTTACCTTATTAAAAAAATATTTCTCAGAAATCATAGATTTTGTTACCTTTATTTTTGAGTTCCATGGATGCAACACTTTTTCGGTTAAGTTGAAAAGAAAACAAGCTCTTTTTCCAATACTTATAGCTGATTTGAAAACAGAATGTTTAGAATTTTTTTTAGTTTCTAAACTTTCAAGAAATACTGTCAGGATTATTTTTGCTTTTTTATCCGATATTTTATGGGTTCACCTGCATTGTATCAGACCACTCCTTTATTGGGTTCAAATTGAATAAACTGCTTCGCTGAGCGCAGCTGGATATGCCCACAGAGGTCCAACCTGAACAGTTGGGGCAAAATTGGACACAATATTCAAGCTTGATACAGGTCTGAATTTGGATTATAATTAAATATTTGATATATTATAGTTTCTGAATAAATGTAGTCAAAGAACTTGAAATTGGTTATATGAAAGATTTCTTGCTGTTGTGCAATACACTGTGCTGTTGCCCAATGCTTAGTACAGTACGCACAGAGAGTTTGTAATCGCGAACTCTAATCACGGATTTCGGAGTGTAGCGGTGTCACACCGCGAATCACGGATTATACTCCCAATTTCCTCCAAAGATTCTCTCCCAACACCGCGTGGCTGTTAATTGGTTTATTGCCCATCGGATGTACTGAAAATTAATGACTCGTGACAACATAATCGGATTAGCCAGATTTATTATCTTTGTACATTTAATCGATCTTGATTGCACCTGTGTGCTTTAAAACACGGTATTAAAATTTCCTTTCTTTGACAGATAAAAATGTGACATTTTCATTCAAAATAAGATAATTATTCTTGGATGTATTTGCCAGTCATTTGAAATAAAACGTACACTCGTATAAAAATACGAATAAAACACTTATTTTGTATTTTTATTATAGTCCGGTCAGGTCATAATTTTTGTTTTTTCAACAAAGACGATTTTACTACAATTAGAATCTTTTATGACCTACTCAGTGAGCAATATCCGGTTCATTAATTGTTCAATATATAAATATCAACTGGCTTAAAACAAAATGATGTTTTTACGGTAATTTGTCCTATCTAAACCCAAGAGTTAATTTAACGGATCAACAAGTGAACTCTGTTACTTTCAATTTATTTTGCAATGTAAAATATTATGTTTCACTACCTCGGTAGATTACCGACTTGAAATATTTGAACTCAGAAAAGAAACTGTAAAGTGACAACAAAAAATGTGGATCGGATTTTTACGATCTACACATTTTCACAGAGGATCTCTACCAACGCCCAACAGGAACCGAACGACATGCATCCTGTTTTCATCTACCATTTATGTATATTGTTGACCATGGACGTATAAATAATGTCATGCAGGTTTATGTCCTGTGTTGACTTAGAAACGTAAAATTAAAAGGCTGGTGTTCGTTTATTCAGAAAAGGATTATATTTTAGATTCCGGTTAATCAATTGTAAAAGAACCTTCTAGAGCCTCAATCTTAAGGCATACAAATGTCAATTATTCCAAAGCAAATTTAAAACCCGAATGTATTTTCCCACGGTCATCCAGAAAGGTCACCTGAGTTTACTGTTACGTGATAATATTTCCCGCCAAATAAAAATCTCGTGGACAAAATTGATGTCACTATTTTTAGCATTCAATATTGTGAGCGAAGTCAAGTTCAAAGTTCAACCACGGACTGTTGATCACTGAGATGTGTATCGTCTTCCCACGGCAATTAATTTCTTTTAAAAAATTTAAAAATCACTGTCCTTTATACAACACACAAGTTTACATTCATTGTGCGTAAATGAATATTATGCAACGACGAGTTGATGCTGCTATAGAAGTGTTGTAGCCGAAATGTAATTATTTATCCTAAGTATAAGTAATGCCAACAAATCGTAAAGAGAAAATGCCGTAGACTTATTAAGTATAACGAATGGTGAATAGTATTTTCCCTTTTACTTGCATATACAAATTTTGAGACACGTAATTTTCTTTAAACTGCTCACTTTTATATTCAGCGTTAGTTTCCGTTTATTTTTACGCAAGTATGTCTCATTTAATAAAATAATTTACCGATGAACTTAAACAAGGTCACAATCAAGTATAGTTTTTGTTATAAAACTTTAATGCAATTGAAAGAATTAACAACAACATTCCATGTTCTGCTTTTAAATCTTTAATTTGTTTCAAGCAATTATGTAATCGTAAAATGAAAATGGCGTGGACTTATTAGCATAACGAATAGTGGATAATATTTTCTTTTTTACTTTTATACAAAACTTTGAGACATGTAATTTTCCTTTAAACTGCCCACATTTATTCAGCGTAAGCCTCCGTTTATTTTTACACAAGTATATCTCTTTTGTAAATAAAATATTAATTTACTGACCAGAAAAAAAAACGAGGTAAAAATCAAATATAGTTTTTTTTTAATAAAACTATTTTTAAATGTACATTGTAATTGAAAGAATTAACAACAACGTTTTGCTTTTAAATCTTTTATTTGTTTCAAGCAATCAGAAATATAACCTGATTATCAATAGACAGGAAATACAATTGTTTAATTACATAAGTAATCTCACATACCTTGACTGTCGCGTGCCGGTATAGATCAGAAGGATTAGGGCAATTTATTACCTGGTGTGACACCGCGTCACACCGGACTGGGAGAGATGTCGCTAATACAATAAACAAAAGGTAGCGAATTCACGCGGAAGTCGGAGGGAATACTCCCAAATTTCTCCGAGAATTTAGGGAGGGATGTCGGAGTTTCCTGGTGTCACACCAAGAAAAAACTTGGTGTTCGGAGTTTGGGAAGCCTTTCGCGAAATTTGTACTGTAAATCTGTTGTCAGACTATAAACAAATAAAATCTTATAACTCGGAAATGTAAAATTGAAAATTTATAAAAATCAAAAGGGAGCTTACAAAACTAGATATAAGCAATTTATTCATAAAAAATGCTGAAAGCATTTTTGAGTTATTGTCCGAAAACTGGAAAATCCCCTTTTCTGTAATGAATAAAACCCCATAAATCGGAAACATATAGTCTGAAATTTATAAAAATCAAAAGGGAGCTCATGTCGATAGAAATAAACAATTTACCAAAGTTTCTTGCAAATTGGTGAAATTGTTTTTGAGTTATAGTCTGAAAACTGGAAAATCCCCCCTTTTTTAATGAATAAAACCCCATAACTAGGAAACGGTAAATCCGAAATTTATAAAAAAAAAACCAAAGGGAGCTCACTTCAATAGATATGAACAATTCACAAAAGTTTCATGCAAATTGGTGAATTTTTTTTCTGAGTAATTGTCCGAAAACTGGAAAATCACCCCCTTTTTAATGAATAAAACCCCAAATCTCGGAAACGGTAAATCCGAAATTTATAAAAAATGAAAGGGAGATCAGGACAATAGATATGAACAATTCACAAAAGTTTCATGCAATTTGGTGAAATTGCTTTTGAGTGATTGTCCTAAAACTGGAAAATCCCCCCTTTTATAATGAATAAAACCCCAAAACGAGGAAATGGTAAATCTGAAATTTATAAAAAACGATCACATCAATAGATATAAACATTCACCAAAGTTTCATTCATATTGGTTAAAGCGTTTTTGAATTAATGTCCGACATGTTGACGACGGACGGACGGACAGACGGTCAATGGTATACCATAATACGTCCCGTAAACGGGCATATAAAAATGTTTGAGAAATGTTTTCCAAGGATTTAGTGTTACAAGGTTAGGCTTATCTTGCTGTTTTTGTAATTTACATTCATTGTATTTTAAATACTGTAACAAATAAAGTATAATATAAATGTTAAATCATCAAAATGGAAATAGAAATCTTTTTAACATCTCTCACCTGCTGTTCTTTCACCTTATAAATTACATTTTCCACTTCAAAACAGGTCTAACAAAATCAATATCAGATTTTTCAAATGTCTCTTTTCTCTACAACTACATGTAGTATATTTTTTGTTTTTATACCTGAACTTATTAATTATGCTTATTATTCAAAACTTACCTTTAACATGAACAAACATAGTCCAACAAAAGTTGAAAACTTCTGATGAGGAACATGGTAACCTCCTACAAACAAAATAATCTGTTATAGTGATATTTCAAAGTTTTTTTGTTTTTCTTTTTATTCTAAGGGACATAACTCAATTCAATTTTATGTTATAAACAATAATGTATTTTTTAGCTTTCTATGCAGGGCTCACACTACTTCAGAATCGTAGAGAGAAGTGACTTCTCTTTTTGAAACTGAGAAGGAGAAGTGGTGAGATTTGAAAGAGAAGTGCTCGTTTACTATAATACAAAGAGCCATATATGTATCTTATTTTTTTTTATATTGTTCAATTTGTACATGGGTATACAATTAAAGTAACAGTTCAAATTTAAAGTTATTTAATTTTATCATATCTAGTTGCGCAATCATGTTAGTCCTCTTGTCAGAAAAAAAAACAATTAAATATCTGGCAATAATAAAAAGACTTTTTTTTATATCAAAAAGGAAAAGAAAGTTGTTATATCAATTAAAATTCAATTAAAAACTACTCTGTTATCATGTTTATAAAATTAAGTATTTCTCATTAAAAAGATATTTAAATTTAACAGTTTTATTTAACACAGTTAAGCATGGACATAATATAATTATATTAGTGTAATAGTCCCAGAGTTGAGCAATTTTAATCTATAAATTGAAACAATGCATATACATGGAAATATATACATTAATCAAGTAGATCTAACCAAAAGTATGTAAATGCTTGTGGAATGCGTAATTTTTCCTTTTGGGATCAATTTTCTTCTGTCAGCTGCACCATTCATGCATCCGTAGTCATTATCACAAGAATCCGGATTTCGGTCATAGCGGGTCCGTTTCCGATGAAATACCGACTCCGATCTATAGTTGAAGAATAATTTGCCCAAAAATTTAAATGGCGGACAAAGAAAATTTACGAAAAATAAACAATGTTTGACAGGCTATTTGGAAGGGAATATGACGTTTTTAATGCAATATAAGGATAACCTATTAACTTCAGGCAAATTTCATCACGTTCTAATGAAGTTACAAGCTTATTTTGCCAAAAGTTAGAATGATTTGATGTACGCTCTCAGTAACAAGTACCAGAAGTGATAAAAAATCGTCTTAATGAAAATAACATGCAACCAACTTTAAAATCAATGCTTTAACCTCTTTTCTAAAGAAAATAAATCGTTTATGTCTTAGAATTTCTTTACTTTCAAATGAAAAATTGCTGTTTCTTCGACTTGGTAAATGTTGAATATTGCTGATGACGAAAGCGACGGAAAGCGAGTATCGTGAACAACAGGGCGACTAGATTTCTTTTTTGACGGGCGGGCAAAGCGACTAACGGGAAAGCAACTTTGTCGCCCTAGTCGCCTGCTAGCCCTGTTTCTATGTTATGTTTTGTAGACTGTTGTTAAGTCTTTTTTGTTGTTTTTTGTTGTGGAAATGTAGATTGTCTAGATTTTCGACTTTGAATATCCTTTTTATGACTTTCAAATTCTTCTGAAATCTGCAAACTGACCAATAACCAATGAGTGACATCTAACATTTAAAGAAAAATAATGCCAAAAATAAAGCTAAGCACAACCGCTTTTCATTTTTTTTTTAAATTCAAAATGTGTTGGGAAAAATGCTGGGATTGTCGGATATGTTAGTTGAAGAAAAGGAATTTGTATTGCATATCTAACAGATTTATTTGATGTGCAATAAAAATCACAAAATATTCTGTACCAAAAACATTACAGATGCATCCAACCACAAAGTATTTTCCCAGATTTGCCAAGATTGGTGGTAAGTTTGAGATTACTTTTTCTTTAGTGCTCATTTAAATTAATTAGCGTGTGAATATTTTTAAATTTACCTCTGTTTTCGACTTCTATTCTGCTTTGCAGGTTCATCCATTGGATTTCTAAAGATGTCCAAAAATATAGGTTCAAATTTCTTAAAAATGACAGTTGAAACTGCAAAATTTCTCTCCAATCTGTCTATCTTATCTCTGAACTCTTTCCTTAAATTTGCCATATCCGACCATTTTTTCATTTTATTAAAAAACTGTATCAGACTGAAAATAAAATTAAAGGTTAAAATAATTTATTACAAAATAATGTATAATTGAAATACTTAACCTTTTTCTCTCTGAATTCTTAAATCCAAATGTTTTTTTATGGGTTATCACTGCTAACACTGAAAAAGACTCCTTAACATGTTCATTTTATACAAATGTCTTCAATTATCTAAATTATCAAATCTATGTTTCCTTTTTCAAAATATTAACCTCAATTTTCTGATTCTCATCAAAATCATATTTTATCAGTGACAATTTTCTTGTTACAATGCTTTTTTCAAAACTATAAAATCATTAAAAAATTCGTAAGGGTTCCGCGGAACCCAGTGTCTCGCCTACTTTTTGCTGTTAATCACAGGCTCAGCAAAAATGAGGAAAACAATTAATAAAAATATTCCTCTCTATACTATCTTTTGATTGTAAGTAGCTTCTGTCCAAGTTTGGTAAAAATCCAGGATAGTTTATGAATCTAATAAATGTTTTAAAAACTTAAACTGCAGACTGTATGTAATGTTAACTGGAAGAAAAACTAAGTCCATTTATAAGTAAAATACGGAAAAAATGGAACAAAATTTCCTTCTAGATACTAGTTTTTAATCATAAACAAGCTTCTGTCTAAGTTTGGTACAAATCCAGGATAGTTTAAGAAAGTTGTTCAAATTTTAAAAACTTTAACCACAGAGTGAATGTAATGTTAACTGGCAGAAAAACTAAGTCCATTTATAAGTAAAATACGGAAAAAATGGATTTTTTTTTTTACAAAATTTACTTCTGGATACTAGCTTTTAATCATAAACAAGCTTCTGTCCAAGTTTGGTACAAATCCAGGATAGTTTAAGATAGTTGTTAAAATTTTAAAATCTTTAACCACAGAGTGAATGTAATGTTAACTGGCAGAAAAACTAAGTCCATTTATAAGTAAAATACGGAAAAAATGGAATTTTTTTTTACAAAATTTACTTCTGGATACTATCTTATGATCATAAACAAGCTTCTTTCCAAGTTTGGTAGAAATCCAGGATAGTTTAAGAAAGTTATTAAAATTTCAAAAACTTTAACCACAGAGTGAATGTAATGTTTCCTGGCAGAAAAACTAAGTCCATTTATAAGTAAAATACGGAAAAAATAGAATTTTTTTTTTACAAAATTTACTTTTAAATATTATCTTATGATCATAAACAAGCTTCTGTCCAAGTTTGGTAGAAATCCAGGATAGTTTAAGAAAGTTATTAAAATTTCAAAAACTTTAACCACAGAGTGAATATTTGTGGACGCCGCAGACGACGACGACGCCGACGGAATGTAGGATCGCTATGTCTCGCTTTTTCGACAAAAGTCGAAGGCCTCGACAAAAAAATTAATGCGGAAGTTGTGTTTGTCTTTAACTAATATTGAAAAACTGTGGTTAAATCACAAATTTGTTCAATGTGGATGTGCCGTTTCTGGTATTCATAGATATTACATATGAATATTACTCTTAAAGTTAAACAGTGCTATATAATAATAAAATACTATGTAATTTATTCAACAGTTAATTATTTGAAGGATTTTGAACTTATAAGAACACCTAATCCTAAACAAGAGTGCACACGCTGAAAGGTCTCGCCTGCTCTACTGACCATTATTTTTATGTTGAAAATCTCAAAGATAAAGGTTTTACTACAAGTATCACATTATACCTGCCAGACAGACAAGTACACCTAATATGGTCAGAGGACACAGTAATTGTCCTTAGATTTTCGTTGTCCACTAATATAGTCCCTCGTGTGGACAGTGTATTACTTGCAATTTTTTTTCATACACTTTCCAAATTTATTTCTTTATATTTTATGCATGAAATATTAAGTAAGGGGATGAAATTAAATGTTAACAAAATTTGGGTGCTGAATCTTTTTGTTATGTAGTGATTTGGTCTAGTATGTCTGAAGCTGTCAAACTGAATTTTAGACCCCCTTAACATAGAATTGTCAATATTTTGAGTTAGAGCTGGTAGACTTTTCTATAATTTTGATATTATTTGTCCTAATAGTAGTACACTACTGAAAAAATCTTTTTGAGATAGAGCAGGTGCAATTTTTTTAATTTGACTTTATTGTCTAAAAGAAATGCACTACGAAATAATTGTGTTCTCGGGCCATATAGTTGACAACTGCTTATAGTATTTAAATAAAAGAACAGAGTTCGAATGTCCGGGGTCCCCAGCTTTGCACATATTTTATCTGTCCCTTAGTGTCTTGAAGACTTTAGAGCAATTTCTGATATATTTTATATTTCCAAGGGGCATAACTCATTAAAAATATTTGATTGGGAATTATTTTTGACATTGTCTGTGACATTGCTGATATTAACCTTGGATATGTATTGATAAAAATCTGGCAAAAAATGTACATGGGAGAGCGCTAACAATGCAGTAGTAGGCGAGACAAAAATGACTGGTTATGTTCATACTTTATAAATTGTTAGACAAGACTTAATTTTGATCTCTTAAATGCTAAGAATAAATTAATTGATTCAAGAATTTGAAAGTAAATAAGGATACCTTTTACTTTGTAAAGAAAAAACATGGCTGTGAATTATACACAACTTTCTATTGTAAACTATGGTACTTTTGCTAAATTTGTATTTTCCACCAACTTCTTCATGCGGTATCAATTGATTTGCAAAGTTTAATCTTGTAATTCAAAAGCAGACACATTATTTGTTTTTACTTCTTGTAATAAGAAAGCTGAACATATAACACTTTACCAATAAATTTGCAAATCTTGCTTCATTAAAAAAAATGCAATTAGCCTTTTTGTAAAAGGAAACAATGATCATAATGGTCCAAAAAACTATATGTTATGTTAGGTCTTTCAATCTCTTTAAAATTGACAAGCTTAAATATCAAGCATAAAAAACAAAACCTTCAAAACTTTGTATGCAAGACAAGTTCAATAAAGGAAAAAAGCTTTCATTGAAAAATTCTTAATCCTGTCACATCTAATGACAAAAATCATTGGTTAATAATTCATTACAATAAATAACAACCTGAATTTTGAGGAACGTAATAGCCTTGTAAGAGACACACAATTTCCTTCCACGGTTCCTCTTCCCACTGTGGGAATCACACTCCTCCTACATGCCTCATATAGTGCACAAACCAACCAATGTAATTGATTTCCCTGTAATAAAGAAGGACATATATATATATATAGCTGAAGGTTGAACTTTAAAAACATTAACAAGCTTATTTTAAGGTGCTAGTTCACAAAGCAAGTCCACAGAAAGACATGTCACCTTACCCGGACACATTGGTCCAACTCTGAGACAACCAGTCTTTGCTCTTACTCCTAAATGCCGTGTGTTTAGCATCGAAATAGCAAATACCAATTATAAAGTCTTTGGTTTGACCTGGACGGAGTTCGAACCCACATCCTCCCACACTCGAGGTTAACACACTACCACTACACCACAGAGGCAGTATAATGAATCTTACCTATAAAAACAAGTTAACTTTAATGAGTTATTCTGATATGCGTGTTGTGAAAATCCATGGATGGTACCCGCGAGATACGAACCCACAATCTCAGGATATACAGGCAGCGCTCTAACCAATTGAGCCAAAGAAGATCTTCCTTAACTCAACCAGTTAAACTACCTTTATACCTCCAGGTCTACAACATGCACAATGCTCAACTTCATTACTAAAGTGAAAAACATTGACACCAGATGATCAACATGCACATATGACCATGGTAATTTCTGAGCTTATGCACATTGTTAGATGGTATATATCAAAGCATGTAATAAATTAAGCTTCAGATGGAGCATCACATACCCCTTTAAGTTCTAAGTCTTGTCTTATATGATAGTGTAACGGGAGAGCATGATTGATAATAAAAAAAGATGTGGTATTTTTACCTTCCAAATTTTGTATTAGGGTTTTAGCAGGGATTTGAACGCAGGACCCTATCACAGAAAGCCTGCTATTTACAAACTGAGCTACGGGAGTACTCCACTACCATATGTAATGGAGGGGGTTATAGATTTACTAGGTAAGGGAAGCACAGCTACAATTAGAACTGTAAAATTCTCTGTATTCACTTTACATTGTGTGAATACTCGGTTTATTTAGTTTCCTGAACCCTTTATTGGAAATATTCTATGATTTGTGGTGTAAATGAGACTATGTAGTCTAAGGGTGTATAAATATTATGTCTAAACTTGCGCTTAGAAAACATGCCTCTAAGGAATAATTTTCTAATATTTTTTGGTAGTTTTCTAATGCTTCGTCCCTTGCTTTCTTGTCCATGTTAAGATCGAGGCATAGTTCTTCAAACTGGCTCTCTACGGCATCATCGCCGTCCTCTGAAAGACCCATTTTTGGGCAAAAAAATTTACAACTCTTCCGGTCGTAGTAAATTTCATCAACAATGGCCGTCAATTTCAATCTAGGTCAAACACACGCTTATGGCGGGAAAAGGGACATGGTCAGGGGTTAAAAATCGGTCCCAACAACATTACACTAAAAATAGTTTGCAATAAGAGACATTAGTTTATTTTCAATTTAGCTTTTTCTCTTTACATTACTCTAAAAATATATTAAGAACGTAATTTAGTGCAATAATTTCAACAAAAATAAATCAAAATTGATTTCTAATAAATTATACCACGAACGCGGATGAATAAAGGTCAAACACTTTTTGAACTTTTTGTTTACACTTGTTTCAAACGCACTGAAGACTAAGACCAACGCGCACCTGTTGGTGGTTTATCATATATTGGGTCCGTTGATTGTATTAGAGAAAGTTACACCGCGTATGAGTCTGTTGAGAGTAATTTAATGGGAGGAGGGGAATTTTGGGGTGGAAACAAACTTTTGATAAACTTACATGTAATTTTTATGTATATATTGTTTAACAATTCTGTTTCTCTATGATATTTTTCAAATATACTTATTAAAAAGTAAAATAACAAAAATATCGAATTCCAAGGAAAATTCCTGAAAACGGAAAGTCCCTTATATCAAATGGCAAAATCAAAAGCTCAAACACATCAAACGAATGCAAAACAACTGTCGTATTCTGACTTGGTGCAGACGGAAACATTAAATAGTTAAAAACTTAAAATTGATCAATATTATAAGGTATCAATAAATAATGATATTATCAAAGTTTTGTAGCTTTTGTAGTGAAATACTATTTTGTAGTCAGACATATCTGTTAATCAAAAGTTTTTTTAAAAGTACTGTATTCTATTTGCCTACATGTCCCTCCCTTGGTCACTATGTGAGAAAACAGATTCGTAGTGTCTTTATTCACTAAAGTGGTCCTACAATGGATCTTGATTAAATTATAGCTAGGGGTATAACTCATGATTGGAGGTACATTACGGAAATTATTTGCAAATTTGATATCACTTACTTAGAGCTGATTTCCAGCAGAGGATACCAAAGTTTCCTCTTCACCAGATTCATAATTAAAGTTAATTATTGTACTATTATTTCCGTGACTCCCGGATAATTCTGCCTCTGTTATCTTTGAAGATAGCTCAAAGTTCATTGAATATTTATAGCAGAACAACCCGTGTTGGCTGTTTGTGCACGTCTTGTCCTTTTTGTCTCTTGAATACGTGACATGTTTGATTCAACATAATTCGTAAAACATCTCCGCTTTTTATTTGATATTGGGAGACTATAAAGTTTCAGAGATAGAAAACGATGTTGATTTGACGGAATATAAGGACAGAAAAATGAATGAAGCCCTCTTCCAAATTATAAAGAAATCATGGAGAAATTCAGCTTGACATTGAATAATGTTTTTGTCTTTAATTAGTTTTTTTGACCAAAAAAAAAAATCTTTTTGAAATTTGAATGCCCATTTTTACAAAATCAAGAGTGCACACACTGAATTCTGATTATGGTTAGTATAACTACAGTTAATTACCACATAAACTTAACATTATGAATTACCTTCGAAAATGAGATCTGAGATTACTATAACACAGTGTTACAGATCAAACCTGGCAGATGGACATGAATACCTTACAAGAATTTAAAGATCAAATATAGTTGACCTATAACTTTTAGTAGTTTAGAAACGGACCTATTTACGAAAACTCATCATCCCCCAATGAACCATAAAAATGAGGTCAAGGTCAGATGAACTCTCCCAGACACACTTGTACACCTAAAAATCATCATACACCAAATATGATTGATTTATTGTATCAGAGAAACGAATTTAATCACTGAACCACGAAAATAATGTAAACATCTTGTAAACCGAACCCGGTCTGAAGAGAATTTATTCTTGCATTGAATCTTTATACTAAGTATCGTTGTCAGAGACATATAATGCAATGTGTTATATGTATCTGTTGTCATATACTAAAAAACCATATTAGATAAATATACTAACAGAAAAGGGGGGAAAATTTATGCTTGCTTTGTGGACTTGAAAAAGTCTTTTGATAGGGTCATACACTGTGGTATTAGATACAAATTATTGGAAAATAACATATCTGGAAAATTTTATACTATTTTAAAAGATATGTACAGAAAAAATGAAATGTCAGTGAAAGTGGGTAATGTACTAACGCCTTCATTCAGCTCGCTAGTTGGGGTAAGGCAAGGGGAAGTTCTAAGCCCAAATTTATTTAAGCTTTTCATTAACGATCTGCCTCCAAGATTTGAGTCGAGACCAGATGCTGTTTATATCACTGGGCGTAGAATTGATTGTCTTATGTACGCTGATGACATTGTTATATTATCAAACACTAAACAGGGTCTTCAAAACCGACTTGATAAACTGCACACTTATTGTATTGATTGGTGTCTAGATGTAAACTTGTCCAAAACAAAAGTTTTAATTTTCAACAAGCCTGGAAAATTTTTGAAGGAATCACTTTGTTTAGATAATGAGGCTATAGAATGTGTTAACAGATATAAATATTTAGGGATAGTCTTTACTTCTAGTGGTCTATTTCAGCAGGGGAAAGAAGAGCTATTCAAAAAGTCCTTAAAGGCAAAATTTAAACTACAAAAATCCATGTCAGCTTGTAATCCAAGTATTGGTACTGCAATCCATTTCTATGATCACACAATAAAACCAATTTTATTATATTGTAGTGAAATTTGGGGTACATTTAAGATTAACTCTGCTGCTTGCAAGAAAAAAAGTGATTATCTATTTGAATTAATTTACATAAATGATTATTCGGAAAAATCACATTTCAGGTATCTAAAATATATGCTTGGTGTAAATAAAAAAGCCTCAAATTTGGCAGTGTTATCAGAGGTTGCAAGATTTCCTCTTTATTTTTCTGTCATTATATCTATGGTAAAATATGTACACAGGCTTAACAAATTGGATGATGGGTTACTTTATGATGCTTATGTTTTTAATAAAATTTTAGATGCAGGAAGCATTAATTGTTGGTATTCATCTATGAGATATGTCCTTCAATCACTTGATATACAAAATTTGAATACAAAGCTCAATAAATTAATTAAATTTGTAAAATGTAAACTTTGTAACAGTTTTAAAACATTTTGGGTGGTCAAAAGATCTGATACCTTATCACAAGGTAATAGTAAATTAGAAAATTATTTCAACCTCAAGACTGACTTCGTAAAGGAGGCCTATTTATCAATTAAAGATTTGAATATAAGAAGAGCTATATGTAAAATGAGGATAAGTGCACATGATCTTAAAATTGAGAAAGATAGATATAGTAAAAAATACATAGAGAGAAGTCAGCGTCTATGTCATCACTGCCTATCACATGGATCAAATTCTATTGAAGATGAGACCCATTTCACAGTAAGTTGTCCTTTATATAACGAACAGAGAAAATTATTATGGGATAAAGTAAACAGTTTTTGTACTAATTTTAAAGAATTACCCAAGGATAAAAAATATTTCTGGCTTTTCACAAATGAGCATTTACCAACTCTTATGTGCCTAGGCAATTATATTATTAAGTGTTTAGAAATAAGATCCAGGTGGATACAAAATATATAAAATAATATTTAATTATTATGAAATCTTTGTTATAGTTATGTAAGACACATGATGTGTTAGGCTCTGATCCTGTCCATTATATGATAGTATTATATTAGGATCTAGTTTTTCTTTTTTCCAATCATATTGTGCTTAATATTGTTGTAAATGATGCCCTTTATGGGTTCTTGATTAGATTAATAAAATTCTTATCTTAAAAAAAAAATTCTTATCTTCTTATACTAACTGAACAAAATCACGCTATAAAAAACTTAAGTCTTATTTAATCAGTTTCTTAACCATGAACATGAGGTCAAGGACAATGAAACCAGACGGAAATAGACCTTAAGGTATATGTATACAAGAGATGAATTATCCAAGTCATCTATTTCTTCTCAAATATATTCACCGGTGCCTTTTAGCGTCCATATACGGTTTCGCATTCTGCACCATTCGTCTCAGGCGAGACAAAAAAAAAGATAACAACAAATTTGAATGACCAGCTAGTCCATAACTTCCTTTTCTGGATTACAGTTACTAATAGAAGAAAGTTTTACAGATTTAAATGAACCTCACAGGTATCGTTCAAATTGAAGCTTTAATATCAACGATTATATCAAGGATTTGTATAGTAAGACAATACAAATCCTTGTTTATATAAATTCATGTTTTGTTTACTGTAAAAATCTGGAGATAAAAAAGTAATACATGAAAAACACATCCCTTCTCCTAAAACTTGTCGGAAACCTACAGAGTTTTAGCATTTTAATTTTTTCAGTTGATTGTTGTGAACAACGTATGAAATGTGCTTTACGAAGATTCTGCTTTTTATTTTGATTAGAGGAAAAATATGGCTTCCCGAAGAAATTTGGAGTTTCATTGACAAAAAAAAAATCAAGAAAGAACAGAGCAGTCAGTCAGAAAATTTGTCAGTGGTTGCCGATGTCTCGACATGTTTTTTTTAATTTCTTTTGAGAATTTAATAATGGTATCAGATATTTAATCGGCTGTTGGATTTATTAACAAATTTATATGCACTTGACAGAGAGGCTTAGGGATGCGTATCTGCATGACGTTGATGAATTGAAGAAGGTGCACGATATCGTAATTTGTTTTAAATTTTGATTAACTTTGGTTGTTTGGATGTTGACTCATTGAACTTTGAAAATATATCATTTCAATCAAGATTAGCATGATTAGTCAGTGTTCTTAGGTACATGATTGCTGCTTTGAACATGCTTCTCATATGTACGGAGAGGGTTGACAGGGGTATCTGATCCCCACTTCCCTCACCTACTAACGATTCCCTTCCCCTTCCTCCCAGACAAAAATCGGCCTAAGAAACTTTTCCAGCATATCCCTATTTCTACTACGCCTTTTCTCCGGTTTCCCTCCCTCTTCCCTGGGTGCCAGCTAGCTCCCGCTTCCGGCCTCCTCA